TCTGAGCCCAGCTTCCACCATGCTCTTGGGACGCTGGGCACTGAACAGTCTGGCCTGCTCAAGGCCACCCGTGCTTGGGGATGACTGCCTGCCGGCTGAGTTTGCAGGGCTGGAGAGTGGGACTTGTGTCCATGGACATCCCCGGCATGCTGCCTATGCCCCCCAGTCTCCCCTCTGTGTGTGACTCACTTAGGTCCGGGTCACCAGGGTTTCTCCAGTTACCGAGTCTCATGCACTCGACTCAAGTGTTTGTCGATTGCTATGAAATCGATGCTCTGGCCTTGGCATGTCCCTGTGATCTGAGCTCAAGCACGTCATAGAGAACACAATGGTTAGATGTTCTGAGGGCAGGTAAGGTGGTACCAGCGCAGGGTAGGCGGGCTGTGTGTTTTGTAAGGGCCTTGGCTTGGGGCCTGCCCAAGTCACATGACCTCCCTGAATGCATGTGGCCTACTGGCTTTCCCCGAGAGGAGCCATCACCTGACCACCGCACTGCTGCTCTGCTCTCTGCCCAGAGTTTGGACTCTGACCACACATGTGCTACTGTCCAGCAGTGCCCATTGGAGGGAGGCCTGGGCAGTGATAGCCATCTGCCAAGAGAGGGGAAAAGGATAAGGAAGGTGTAGTAGGGCCAGCCAAGCTTTTGGCGGTGCCATGGCTGGTGCCTTCCACCACTCAGGGTCTTCTGCTGATGTCAGTGAGTGAGGAGTTCATGGAGATCGCGTCTCCTCTGTGCCAGTCTCGATAGCGTCTCCAGCCTGCGGCGCTAGAGAGCCTTCTGAGTGACAGCCCTGAAATGGGGTGGCTTCTAATCCCAGTTTAGGAGGAAACTGGAGAATCAGGAGTTCAAGGTCATCCTTAGCTACACATTGAGTTTGATGCCCACCTGGGCTCCTTGGGACCCTGCATATCAACAAACAAACACGAAAGAATAGTGCATGCCTGTGATTTCAGTGCTCAGGGTACTGAGGCAGGAATTTTTTTTTTTTAATTTATTTTAAGTTAAGGCCATCCTGGCCCACTCTGTCTCAAGAAACCAAACCAAACCAAACCAAAACTATTCTGATACCTTCTGGATGCTGAGAAGCTTGGGTAGCTGCCTGTATTTCGTTTTCTAATAACCCCAGAGGTACTATTAACATCTTTTTCCCTTGTGATGCTTTGTGTCACATGTTGTGAGCTGGACAGGGTCTAGAAATACCTCGGGGACAAATCACTGGGCATGTCTAGGAGAGATTTTCTAAATTGGACAATGGAGATGGGAAGACCTGCCCTACATGTGGGTGACACCATTCTATAGGCCGGGGTCCCGGGCTGAATAAAAAGGAGAAAGCCAGCTGAGCATTGGCGTTCTCTTTCTGCTTCCCGCCTGTGACGACAACGGTGACCAGTTGCCTCCTGCCGCCACGCCTTCCCCGCCATGATGGACTGTACCCTTGAACTGTGAGCCAGGGTAAACACTTCCTCTCTCAAGTTGCTTTACCCAGGTGTTTTGTCACACCAACAGAAAAGTGACTGACTGATCCATCCCGATAGGAAAGCAGACCTTGTATCTTGCTGGCCTGCTTCCCATTTCAATAGTACGTGGGACCTGCCTTCCCACCTTAGGTGAGGTCGGAGTGGGACTTCTGGTTAGAGCGGTGGAAGACCAATGAGAGAAGACCGATGAGGGAAGACAGATGAGGGAAGACAGATGAGGGAAGACAGATGAGGGAAGACCGATGAGAGAAGACCGATGAGGGAAGACCGATGAGGGAAGACAGATGAGGGAAAGGCCTTCCCAGTCTCTGCCATATGAGCATCTCTGGTACCAGGTGGGCCTTGGATTCAACTTGGGTCACTTAGGTCACTCCCAGGAAAGCATCAACAATGCTGGATTCATTTTGGGCAGGAATCTAGAAAGCATCCAAACTACCTCTGTACAGGACTGTGCTGGTCACTTCCTGTCCATCTTGGACCCTAGTGAGCCTTTGAACTGCCATTTCCGAAGTCTGAGATTACCTCATGGACATTTCACCTGTAAACACGTACTTTACACCTGTTGATGGCCCTGTCCCCTAGGGTCTCTGTGACCCTTTCAGGGGTTTCTTGTAGTCTCTGTGACATCTTTTGGTTTGGGGGACCCTGACTATTTCCACCCAGTCGCTCTGGCTCTAGGTCCACACAAGCCTCCAGCCCCTGGAGTTGTCCCCAGGGCTGCTGTGCCCTGTCTCCGGTTCCTGTGACACCTGTGGAAGTCATAGCTCTGGTCTCCAGAAATCCTCGAGCTGGCAGAGCGGCTGGAGGAAGGAGGTCTTGGCAACACACAAAGCATAGCTGGAGGAGGATGGCCTCTGTGTGAACAGGGGGAGATCGAGCTTTTGGAGGGAGGACCAAGTGGACCTGGCCTGGAGGGCAGATGAGATTTAGCTCCAAGGGACTACGACGACGACGACGACGACGACGACGACGACGACGATGAAGGCAAAGACGTGGACAATGAGAGGACCTCCAGGCAGATAAAGGCAACAAAAGCCAGGGCTTGAGGGAGAAGAGGGGACCCATCGGGAGCCCCTGACCAGCTCCTGGCCCTGCGCAGTCGCCCTTTCTGGTCCCTCTGAGAGGAGCTCCTTACTCTCCAGCTTCTCAGCCCTTGGCAAGCTGGAGAGGGCAGGCTCTGAGCTATCCCAAGGTCACTCAGGGTGTCCAATAATTGTCCTAACACTCTACCTGCCACGGAACAGTAATGAGAGGGTTTTCATTATTTTCGGGTGAGCGCTCCTGGCAGATGCCCGACAGCCAGCAGATGTGTGAAGTCCGAGGTGATTTGTAAGGGACCGGCTCATCTGATGCACGGTAATTGCACAGGGCGATGTTGTCACTCAGAGGAGTGTCCTGGCCCGCTGGGATGAGGTTAAGGTCAGTTCAGAGATCCAGCTGGGTCACAGGAAGTGGGACTCCTGCGGGGGGCGGGGTTGGTCAGTGGTGAAGACCCTGGCCACAATCTCAGTGGGGTCTTCAGGCCACCCAAGGGCCCTCCCTGCCATGGCTTTTGGGTGTTGGGGTGGACCTGCAGCCATTGTCCTTCATCAGGGATTCTTCTGTAGCTCTCTGGAAGCTGTGCCTTCTTGGGCCTTTTCTCGTGATCCGGAATCTGTGTTCCAGGCCTCCCAGGGCCAGATCTATAGTATATGGCACCAGCGCTCACAGAGAGATGTGGACATGATCCCTCAGCTCCTTCTGCCTGGGTCGCCGTAACAAACACCGACAACTTGCAGCTGATACTGTATGCATTTCTTTTTCCCAGTGCTGGAGGTACTGGCTGTCCGTGCTCAAGGTGCTTGCATGGTCGGGTTCTGGTGACGGCGATTTTGCCGGGTGTTCACGTGATCTCTGTGCTGTGAGAGAGACAAGAGAGCAAGGAAGAGAAGGAAGACAGCATGCACCAGGCCTCACAGGCTTCTTTTTGTTTGTTCTGGGGATAGGGTCTCCTGAGGTATCTCAGGCAGGCCTGAAATCTGCCCCGTGGACGGACCATGGTCTCAGACTGGCAGCGATCTTCCTGCTTCTGCCTTCAGCGCCGGAGTTACAAGCATACGTCACCATACCCAGCCTGTGGGGCCTCTAAGGACGTTAGTCCTATCATATGAGGACCCCTGTCTTATGATTCTACTTAATCATACTTTGCTGCTCTAGGCCTTGTCTCCAGGTACAGACACCCTGGGGGTTAGGCCTTCAGTGTAGGAATCTGGTGAGGCACAGTTCAGTCCATAGCGCGGGCCATCCAGGCCTTCTTCACATTGGTGCGTGGCTTCTTCCCTATCTCAGTTTCAACCCAGGTACTCACCCAGGTCAGACCCACGCGAGTCTCAGCCCTCCCTACAGTAGGATGCCCCAGGGCAGAGCTGGGACGGCCGGGCCCTGCCCGGGGCGTAGTGTCACATTTGAAGGCCCTCTGTGCAGGGGCCTGCACACACCTTCCTAGAGAGCTGAAGGGCCCCCCAGGCTTTGTGCTCACAGGCCAGATGACCTGGGTCAGGTCTCTTCTAGAAGATTTCCCTTCTTGTCTCCTGAGTGGGGAATACGTTTACTCAGTTAGCTGGTACATATGGAGGGCTTCCTGTGAGGATGACCTCCCTGAGAGGGTGAAGACAAGTTCAGGCGTGGACACTCAGCACAGTGAGTGTGCTTCTCCACAGCCAAGATCCATGGAGACCTGCCCTGGCACTTTATTGACTTTAAACATTTTTAATTTTATGTGCATGGGTGTCTGTGCACCGTGTGTATGCAGTGCTCACAGAATCCAGAAGAGGCTGTCTGAACCCCTGGGACCGAAGTTACATATAGTTGTCACATACAGTTCCAGTTGTGAGCTGCCCTGTGGGTGCTGGGAACCAAACTTGGGTTCTCTACAGCAGCAGAAAGTGTTCTTAGCCACTGAGCCGTCTTCCCATGCCACGCTTTACTATTATCATAATGACAGGGACTGCTGTAATAATATCCAGTGATTTTAAATACAGAGACTTCGTGGGGCTGGCCTCTGGGGGTCACAGGGCCTGTGGTAACGCATCAAGAAGGGACATGGTCGGTGGCACAGAGGGACAGAACCCAGAGGGAAAGCTCTGCATACACAGTTCCAGCCACATTGTCCCTGGACAGATAAACTCACAAACAGAAAGCACCGATTTCCAACCAACTCATGTTGGTCTCTCAGAGGAGACAGTGAGCTCCTCCCTCCTCCCACCCTCATCAGAAGTTGTGTTTAGAGTGACAGATGTGAGGCCCTGCCATCTCGCTGTCACACCGATTGCTCACTGTTCTGAGAAGGTCACATCATCATTCATTAGCGGTAATTAGTCCCCGGAGACCCCTGCACTTCTTCCCTCGACTGCCCCATTAACTTGGGTGTGAATCACACATTCCAGGCACCAATCAATGAAGACCCCTCCCTAATACGCAAGGTGATGCTATTAGTTACAATATATTAACTGCCTAATTTAAAAATAAAAAAGCCATCTTTATGAAGGGCAATTAACCACTGAGTGTAATTGGTCATTCATAAACCTCTGATTAGGAAAGACAAATAATAAGAAAGGGATGAGCCCCCTAGGCTGTGGAAGATGTGGTCTCCGCACCGACGGCTGGAGAGCTGCAGATTTCTCCATACATGGCACCTGGTAGCCCCAGAGCTGGCCGGTCCCTGAAACTCCCCCCTTCTGTGGGCGCCTAGGGGCCGCAGGATCAGGCACAGCCTAAAGGTGTTGCAGGCTGGTGCTTCCTCCTCGAGGTCTCAGCTCTAGGTGGCTTCCCAGTAAGGCCTCTCCAACCTTCCTGTCCAGATAGCCATTGTCCCCTCGCCCCGTTTGTGTCCTTCACGGTCCCTCTCCTCCCAGGTACAAAGGGCCTTGCCTGCGATCCTTCTTGTTCACTGCCAGCCAGACTCCATGCCACCCGAGAACTGCGGCCAGGAAGGCCCTCCCCGTAGGCACAGCACCAGCCTGCAGTCACTACATGTCCATGCCCAGTACCAAGTGCACACTGGTTATTTGTAGATAAGCTGAATGTCATCTCACTGGGGGCCTCTTGAGGCATCCGCTTTGTGGCTTTGAATCCAAAGAGCTCACCCAGATGTCACCAGGATGCTCCGAAGGAGGGGGTCATGGTACCGTTGGCTTCAGTGCATCTCAGTTTTATGGAACCTCGATTCTGGGTTTATGCAGGGTGGGGTTCCCACTTCCACATTCCAGAACTGTCATGTTGCTGCTGTCTGTTTCCGACAGACCCTGTCTATTGACTTTAGTGAGAAGACAGAGCTCAGCTTGGTGCCTCTGCCTTACCCTGTTGGAGAAGAGTGGATCCAGTTAGTAACTCGTGGATATGGGGAGTAACAAGTACCAGGGGGAAATGCAAGTGCTGTGGACCGAGGGGGAGAAACAGCTGCGGGCATTCTAAGATGGCGTGTGCAGCTAGCTAGGCCAAGTGGATGGCGATGGGGGATTGATGAGTGGGTCTGGAGTCGGTGGGGTGTGTGTGTTGGGGGGGTTGGGGGGGTAGGTGGGGGGGTGAAGTATTCTAAGCCGAGGTTGGGTGGGAAGCCCTAGGGAAGCTCAGCTGACTCAGATCATGTGGGGTTGACAGGAAGTTTGGGGGTGCGGCCTGCCAGCATTCTGCTCTTCAAGAAGCGGTCTGTTAGAGCTATGAAATCCTATCCTGAATACATCTGTGACTGTCTGGGCCACCCCGGGACTTGCTGTGACTTGGCCTGCACTGCTACTTAACCAGTTGCTCTTGCAGGAGTCCCTCTCTGGGCCTCTTCTCAGGAGGCCACACCCCTCTGTGCTGAGCACACTCTCCTTTGTGTTTTCGTGGCCCAGACTGAAGCTGTCCCCGTTGAAGGTGAGATTCTGCACCAATGAGTCCCAGAAGTCCCGGGGAGAGCTGGTGGGGTTGCTTCAGCGCCTGGGATTTGACATCTCAGAAGGGGAGGTGACCGCCCCTGCACCAGCCACCTGCCAGATCCTGAAGGAGCGAGGCCTGCGGCCACACCTGCTCATCCATGACGGTAGGCCTGCCTGGGACAAACTTTGGTGGTGGAGGCTGGGGAGAGGACGTCCACTCCCACTTGGGCCAAGCCATGAGAAACAATGCAGGTCAAGCCTGACTTCCTCCATGACACTTGTGAGTCTTCAGGGTACAGAACTCGTGAGGCTCCCTTCTGGGGGACAGGGGGAAGGTAAGACCAGGCCCCAGCTATCCCTCTCCAAGCCCCAGCCTCAAGGCCAGGCCTGAGGAGTCCTGAGAGTAAAGCCTGAGGTAGTGCTCCTTGATCTAGGCAAGAGGTCAGGGATTTGCCCAAGAGGTAAGATTGATGACAGAGAAGTAAGGAGGGGGGAACGGAAGTGGAGGGGTGGATAGGAGAATAAGAAAATCAAGATTGAAGTCTATAGCTTTCCAGTGTCTGCCACCCACAGCCTGTCTGCCTCAGTGACACCCAGTACTGCTCTTTGGTGCAGTTTGCAAATGACTGTCAGAACAAGCTTTGAACTCAGGTGATTTTGGTCTGCAAGAGCAGAGATCCTCCAGCCCTCAATGGGGGGCTTTTGAGGAGCAAAGCAGAGGGAGTGGCGTTCTCTGGTGACTATTTAAAAACAGGGTTCATGCCAGGCAGTGGTAGCGCACGCCTTTAATCCCAACACTTGGGAGGCAGAGGCAGGTGGATCTCTGTGAGTTCGAGGCCAGCCTGGACTACCAAGTGAGTTCCAGGAAAAAGGCGCAAAGCTACACAGAGAAACCCTGTCTCGAAAAATCAAAAAAAAAAAAAAAAAAACAGGGTTCAGGTGCTTTGGAATGCTTTTTTGTCCTTCCTTCTTCCCCTCCCATCCTCCCACCCCTATAGCATGAATCTTAAAAAGTCTTATTAATAAAAACAAACCTGGAGCTAGGTATTGGGGTGAACACTGGAAGATCAGAGAAGCAGAACAAGCCGCAGCTACCTCACCTCACCAGTTCCTCAGCTGATCCTGTTTCCTCAGACTGGAAGCCTCTGAGTTCTCATCCGAATGGATCTCAGCTGAATTGTGCTGCTCCAAAGCCTAAAAGCTTAACCAGCTCTAGTTCCTGGTTTTCACACCTTATATACCTTTCTGCTTTCTGCCATTACTTCCTGGGATTAAAGGCTCACTTCCTGGGATTAAAGGCATGAGTCACCATGCCTGGTTGTTTCCAGTGTAGCTTTAAACTCACAGAGATCCGGATGGATCTCTGCCTCCCAAGTGATAGGATTAAAGGCGTGTGTGCCACCATTTTCTGGCCTCTATATCTAGTGGCTGCTCTGTTCTCTGACCCCAGATAAGTTTATTAGGGTGCACAATATTTTGGGGAACACAATACCACCACAGACCCCCATTTTCATTTCGACAAACCTCTGGGCAGAGTCAGGGCACTCTGCTGAAATGGAAAGTACTCCCTGGAAGGCTGGAGGATGGAATCATTGCCCTGGCATCAGTCAAGAGAAACATGACCAGCCTTTAAAAATCCTCTTTCTAACCTCCATTCTCTGTAGTTAGGAACCCGGCCAATGCATTTAGAAATCCCGTCTCCTGTTTCCCGGGGAAAGGGTTGCTAGGCATGGAGGAAGGGTAGAGCAGCTGGGCTGGGGTGGGGAGGAGAAAGCGTGGGCTCAAAGGCAGTGCTAACCAAATAACCCAGCTGGCAGGACAGAACTTGGGGGGCTGGAGGAGCAAGGGCTGTCCTTCCTTGCTGTTGTGTCTATGTTCTCAGTGAATGTACCTGTTTTTCCGGCTTTGACTTTTTCTAGGTTTTATTATTGATGTTTTCCACCCAGTACCGTATTATTGAAATCTTCGGACAGATAGCGGGCCTCAACAACTTTCACTTGGTGAGGCCCTGGAGATGACCCAGTCCATAAGTACCTGCTACTCAAGCAGTAGGACTTGACTGTCGTCCCCACAGCCAAGCATAGCAGTGTACCCCGGTCACCCAAGCACCGAGGCAGTGAGGCCGGGAGGCTCCCTGGGGCTCCCGGCCCCCCAGGCGGCCAGATTAGCACAATGGGTGTTGGTGCAGGTTCCCCTCAGCATTCCAGCCTGTGACTACCTGGAGCTCAGTGTGTGGTCACTTTTTTTTCTGTTGATGTAAGAGTTATGTGTGGCCAAGAATCCAAGCCTCTGTTACGCTTTTGTACCCCCAGAATTCCACACTCTAGAGCCCTCCATTATTATCACCCTGAAGCTGCCTGCATACCCTTCCAGTCAGTTTTTATACCTACCCCTTAATGACAGTTATTATTATTATTATCATTATTATTATTGGTTTTCTGAGACAAGGTTTCCCTGTGTAATGGCTGTCCTGGAACTCTCTCCGTAGACCGGATTGGCCTCGAACTCAGAGATCTGCCTGCCTCTGCCTCCTGAGTGCTGGGATTAAAGGTGTGTGCCGCCACCACCCAGGTGACAGTCATTATTTTTATATTTCTATTGTAAATAAATGTACCTATTTAGAATTACATATCAATAGAATGGCACAATGTATATTTGATCCAGGGACCCCAAAGGCGACTCTAGGTCTTATTTACTAAGTTACTAAGTAACCTAGAGTTACTGGACAGAACCAGAAGGACATTGTATTCACCATTAAAGTTGGGTACAGTGAAGGATCACAGCTCAGCTTGACCAGGGAGGAGCGGCATGAGGCGAAGGGCAGAGGAAGCCAGGCATGAAATCCCAGTTGTCCCCTGCATTGGTTGTGCTTGGCTGCCTCTGCAGTGATGTGGGACATGGCAGGCTGGAAAGCCTATACTTTTCTGAGACGGGCTGGTCCTCTAAGCACACAGTCCTCATGTGACTAACCTTAGGGACTCCGCATTCATCCACGTACGTCACTGAAGATTAAACGGACCCAGTACGACCCGGTTCCTCGGGTTCGAGACTCCTCCTGTCAGATAGGACTTTTGTAGGGACCCAGGGGTTCTCCCTAGAGCTGTTAGAGGGCCGGTCTTAAGGACAGGCCTCTCTCTGGAGTGTGCAGGATTCGAGCGAGCCAGGCCTGCTGAGGGAGCCCTCTCTTTCACAGAAAGCAGTCTTTTGTGTCAAGTTTTTCTCAGCAGCCTAGCGGCTCACCACATGTACTATGTTCTTGCTCTTTGCCCTGTAGGGGCCATACCACAGTTTTATTTATGTCTGGATGTGTCCCAGCTTCAGGCTGTTCTGGAATATATATTCTGCCAGGCAGACCTAGCTGAGAGAAGGTGTCCCAGTTAGGAGCTGGTAGGAGGCCACATTCTGGGCTTGAGGACTGTCTGTCTCTTGTCGTTCCAGGGGTCCGCTCAGAATTTGATGACATCGACATGGCCAACCCAAACTGTGTCGTGATTGCGGATGCTGGTGAAGGCTTTTCCTATGAGAACATGAACAGAGCCTTCCGAGTGCTCATGGAGCTGGAAAACCCGGTGCTCATATCACTGGGGAAGGGGTGAGTTGGCCGCGGCAGGGGGATGGTGCTGGGCAGGTCTGCCCAGTGCTTTGTGGTTCTCTGCTTGGGGATCAAGTAGAGACAGAGGCAGACAGGTGCTGTGGGAGTGGGCACGGGGGCCTTTTCTCCCTGCCTTGCTTTTTCTCTTCATTCCCTCCTCCTCCCCTCTAATAATCTTTCCAGGCTGTTTGACCAAGTTTCTGTATGAATCTTGGGCCAGGAGAGGGGTGGGGGCATCAGAGCAGGTGGAGGCCCTGAGGAGATCTCAAAGGCCAGGTGTAGTCTGTCCTAAGTTTATAGTAAAGTAGGAGACGATCCCTTAGCATGGGGCATAGCACAAGATGTTTAGGAATGGTCCCTGGGATACTTCATGTATCAGTAGATGGACCTGGGTGTAGCTAGAGTGTTTTCTCTCTGGTCCCACCAAGCCCCCCGACAGTCAGACAGCCCACTTATAAAATAAACACACAGATGCTTATATTATTTGAACTGTTTGACCTAATGGCTCAAGCTTCTTGTTAACTGTTCTTATATCTTAAATTGACCCATTTCTATTAATCTATACTTTGCCATGTGGCTCATGGCTTACTGGTACCTTACATCTTCCTTGTCATGGCATCAGCTGGCAGTGTCTCTCTGCCTCATCCTTCCACTTCCCAGCATTCTCTTCTCTGCTTGTCCCGCCTATACTTCCTGCCTAGCTACTGGCCAATCAGCATTTTATTTATACAGAGCGATATCCACAGCACCTGGGGTCTGGGAGGATGCTTTGGTCTGGATGCCAGGTGCTGTCTGTAGAGTTGGGATTGGTCCCCATGCTTTCGCGGGGCTTTTATCACACTTCAACACCACGCTAGTCAGTTTCTACCGCTCCAAAAGATATCTGAGGTAAACAGGTTCAAGGAAGGCCAGGTATCGGGGTCATAGCTTCACAGGCTTGCTTTGGGCTTGTGGTGAGGGTGGACACCATGGGAGAAGTGTCCAGCTTAGCTCCATGGGGACTGGGAAGCAAAGAGAGAAAGAGGAAGAGTCCTCAGTGTCCCCTCTGAGCTCCCCCACCTTAGGGGTCCAACTTCCTTTTACTAGACCCCACCTCCTTTTTAAAAAAATAATTGTTTTTATTTTATGTGTATGAGTGTTTTGCTTACATGCATGTCTGCACACCATATATGTGTAGTGCTGGTGGAGGCCAGAAGAGAAAGTCAGATTTCCCAGAACTGGATTTACAGACTGCTGTTAGCAGCCATGTGGGTCCCGGGGGATTGAACCCAGGTCCTCTGGAAGAACAGCCGGTGCTCTTAACCACTGAGCCATCTCTCCAGTCCTAGACCCCCACCTCCTTAAGGATCTACCACCTCTCAACACTGCCATCAGCTGTGACCCAAGCGTTCTGCCCCTGGGCCTCTGTGGGACAGTCAGGATGCACACCCTCGCGCCAGCTTTTCCTTTAAAGGAAAGCACTGTTTGCTTCACATCTTCCCTTCCTTCCTTTCTCCCTTATTTGCTTTCTTTGGTTTTTTTAATTTTATGTGTGTGCATGTTTTGCCTACATGTATGTATGTACACCACATGCGTGCCTGCCACCCACGGAGGTCAGAAAGGGCGTCAGATTCCTTGGAAGTGGAGTTATTGCTGGTTGTGAGCTGCCACGTGGGTGCTAGGAACTAAACCCAAGCCCTCTGTGAGAACAAGTGCTCTAACTGCTCAGACATCCTCCCAGCCCCTGTTTTGGTTTTGGTTTTTTTTTTTTTTTTTTTTTGAGACGGGGTCTGGTATCTCTCCAGGCTGGCCTGAAGCTGGTTATGTTCTGTATAATTGAGATTGGTCTTCAACTTCCGATTCCCTTGCCTCTATCTCCCACCTCCGCAGTTACAGGTGTGCGGCCACAGCCAGCAAAGCACGCTTTCCCTCGCCGTCGGTCCTGGGCATTGCCCAGCTAGGCGAGGCTGGACCACTGAGCTGTATCCCCAGCCTGCTAGCATCTTTCCTTACCCCCCCGAGATAGCACATGCTCATGGAAGAGAACTTAGAAATCACAGAGCCTCAGAAGAAAATCAAAGGTGTCTGCAGTCTGGCTGTGCAGCACCAACGCCAGCCTGGGGGTGTTACGCCCTCAGATGCAGACATTCATCCGGTGCTGCGAACAGGACTGGATCGAGAGTCACCTGAGATACACACTTCTGGACCTGTCCGTGAGGGTATCTGTAGAGAGGTTTAAATGAAGAGGGAAGACTCAGCCTTGGGGCTAGAGAGTTGGCTCAGTGGTTAAGAGCCCTGACTGCTCTTCCAGAGGACCTGGGTTCAATTCCCACACCTCCATGGCCGCTCACACCTGTCTGTAACTCCAGTTCCAGGGCTTCTGACCTCCTATGAAAAAGGGAGAAGAAGGACTCAACTCTGCACCAGCATTCACTGCTCTCTGCTTCCCAGATGTGGGTGCAGTGGGACCCAGCGCTTCATGATTTTGCCCCCACGCCTCCCCACCATGGTGTTCGTTACCCCTCAGACTGTGAACCAGCATTTCCCTCCTTCCCGGTTATGTATCTGGTCCAACAACAAGGAACCAGTGTGGGAGTCAGGCTTGACCTTGCTCTGACTTGCTTTGTCACGTGTGGGTTTTTTTTTTTCTTTTGCTTCTATTTGTGTGTGTGTGTGTGTGTGTGTGTGTGTGTGTGTGTGTGTGTGTGTGTACACTTTTGCATGTGCATGGGTACACATGTTTGTGTGTGTGTGCACATCAGGAATAACATCCTCCATCCATCTTTCACATGATTCAGTGAGGCAGCATCTCTCAGTCAAACACAGATCAAGGTCCAGCTTGTCATGGGGGTCTCTGCCTTCCAAGGCTGGAATTACAGGCGGGCCACTATGTCCACCTGGCATTTATATGAGCTGGGGATCTGAACTCCAGTCCTCACACATGTACAGCCAAGGTTTCAACCACAGAGCAATATCCTCAGGCCCCTGTGGCCTGTTTCTTACAGTCACCAAACAACAGCTTGTGAATGACTTGGTACACCATGACCCAATATCTCTGTGACACAGTTATCTGCCTTGTGAGTCTCCTGGGGTTGTGTTCAGTAATCCCTAGTGTTGGACAGTGAGATTGTATCTTATTGTCTGTGACAGTAAGTGATGGTTGAGTGTCTTTGTGACATCAGATGTTGTCCTTAGAGACCACTAAAGGAAGGTTTTTAAGAGGTTTTTTTTTCTATCCTTTTATTTATTTATTTTGATGCAGGGTCTCACTCTGTAGTTCAGGATAACCTATACTTTCAGCAATCCTCCTGCCTCAGCCTCCCAAGTGCTGTGATTACATGTGTGAGTCACCAGGTCTGGCTTGAGCTTCATGATGCATGCTTCCCAGCTCGTTTGCAGGAGACTGTACATGTCTGGTCTGGTCAACAGAAACAGTATCAGAAGGTCAGAATCTCACACTCTGGAGGTTGCATGATGCTTTGGGGTTCCTGCTGAGCTTGGAAGGCAGCAGGGCTTCGTGCTGGAAGTATTTCCATCCAGTGCTTGCTGAGTGGGCCCTCACACCCATTAATCTAGGCACACTTGTGACTAACCTGGGCCCTGCCCTTGGGTATTTGGGTTGGCAACCCTCCGCCAGAAAATGTGCATAATGAAAAAGCAATATTGTAGGTCATTTATGTCACCACATTTTTCTTTGATGCAGTTTCATCACTGCTAAAGGTTATTCCAGACCGCGAGTAATGGCTTGAATAAGTACGCTGGTGAAAAAGATGAAAGCAGCAATTGCTGGCTCTTGGCTGGGTGATAACTTCAGCAGACTCAGCAGTATCAAATCCGAGGGTTGATTTGATATGAGCGGGGCCTCCAGCTCCCTAGACTTTGACTTGGGTGAAGGGTGGCATGTTTCAAACCCGGACAGAGAAAGGACTCAACAGCTTCCAGAGGGTGGCAGCTTCTCCAGGCTGCCCAAGGACCCAGGAAGAGCCCCTGTCCCTACAGCCAAGGCTGGGGTGTCTTCCCTGAGGGTGCAGGGAGGCAGGATGTCCCCCTCCTCCAGATGGAGTGATTTACATTTGGCATCTGTGTGGACTGAGAGAGGGAATTGCCTTTGTAATTTCTCCTGTCATGCTGCCGTCAGAAAATTAAGCTGTTTACTCTACAGACTATGGAGGTTAATAGCTCTTCTGGGAGAGGTCAAGTGGTCATTTTGCAGGGAGGCCTCACCGAGGAATCAGAAACGGCGGGAGAACGAAGCATAAAATCAGATGTGACTGCTCCCTGCGCCCCGATTCTCCCGGTAGCCACAGTGGCCCTCAGTGGCTAGAGGGCCCAGGGCCCTCCCAGGCCCGCAGCGGGCCACACTGTGCTATAAAGGAAGGGAAACTATATCCGGTTGCTAGTGAAGGGGTGTAAATTAGATGTCCGTTTGCTGTTCCTCTTAAAGGGAACGCACAGTGTTTACAGCCAGCAGCTGGCTGCAGGGTGGATTTTTGTTCTCCTGAATGAATAAGAAATACAGAAAAATTGTGTGCTGTATAAGAAGCAGCCCAGATTCAGTCTAAAAAAGAAAGTAAGCTGGGCATGGTGGCCCAGGTCTTTAATCCCAGCACTCAGGAGGCAGAGGCAGGTGGATCTCTGTGAGTTCCAGGACAGTTAGGGCTATTACATAGAGAAAAACTCGAAAAACAAAAACAAAAAAGTAAGAAAGAAAACTGGGAGAGGGTGGCTGGGGATGTAGCTTGTTTGATTAGAGTTCTTGCCTACATTCATGGAGCACCGGGTTCCATCCCCAGCACCACATAAACCAAGGTTGTGGGCACACCTGTAATTCCAGCCCTTGGGGTGGGGGTGGAGGCAGAAGGACCCCTGTGAGTGGGAGGTCTACATAGAGAGTGTAGTGGGACCCTGTCTCAGAAACAAGCCTCTGTTGAGAGAGAGGGAGAGGTGGGGTGGGGATTGAAAGTTTGCATTTTAGCCAGGCAGTGGTGGCTCACGCCTTTAATCCCAGCACTCCAGCGGCGGAGGCAGAGGCAGGTAGATCGCTGAGTTTGAGGCCAGCCTGGTCTACAGAGCAAGTTTCAGAATAACCAAGGCTGCACAGAAAAATCCTGTCTCAAAAAAACTTTTAAAAAAGTTTTTATTTTAATTTCTGAAAATCCATTTTTTTTTTTTCTGGACCAGAAGGTCATGCTTTGGCTGTATTTCAAGTCACCCAGTAAATCCAAACATCCTGAAATTACTTTAGAATAAACCTCTGGATCCAAGGCCAGCAGAGCTGTGTTCCAAGGACTCCTTAGGGGTGAGATTTCCAAATGAGAAGGGCTTGTTCCCCTCCATCCAGTCTCCTGTGTCCTCCAGCTGGCCCTGGTGTAACCTGGAAACCCCCAGAATCCTTAGCTGCAAACAGCTGGACCCCTTACAGTTTTGTTTTGGAAGTTTCTGTTTACTTCCTGGCGAGCATCTCGTGTGCTGAGTTAGGTCTGTCCCTACTCTGCCCTCTGCTTAACCCATTTCTGCTCATCTTTTCCTTTGGGAGGACCCTGAGAATCCTCTCCTGGGGATCTTTCTCTGGCTACCTATTGGAACAAGGGTCGCAGCCTCTGGGAGTCTCTTGAGGGCCCTTGCCCAAAGAGGGTGGCCCAACTGTGGGTGCGGAGGTGGGCCACTGTGGACCCCATCGGTGCTCTGGTGATCCCAAAGTGACCCCTGGTCTTGACACTCCTTCCCCTCACTCATAGAGTGACCTGCCCCCCCTCAGGGCACAGCTTAATCATCTCTTCTGAGGGATGCCTCTGTCACCTATTCATACAGCTCACCGTGTGTGTGCTTACAGTTTCTCTGTGGGTCTGTGTATGTCTCCTCTACACTGGGAGTCCAGGGGTGCATGCCAGGTCTGGCATGTCCCTGAGTCCTGCAAAGAATCCTGGACAGAGTAGGGTCAGGCACCTGCCACCCAGCTGGCACAGCACAGCACCAGTGTCTCCCTCTGCTGGCCAGATTCTGTTTATCATCCTCCAGGTCTTTGAAACTAGACCCTGGCTAAGGAAATAGTCATTATAGTTTATGGTAAAAATAGGGGGAAAAAATGAAACAAACACTTTTAAGTAAGTGTATATGTGTCTGTGTGTCTGCGAGTGTAGGCATGTTCATGCCAAGGTGTGCATGTGGAGGTCAGAGGGGTGTGTGTCTGTCTGTCTGTCTGCTGTCTGTTTTCTTTCTATTTGTCTGTGTTTGTGTGTTTGAGTGTAGGCATGCTCGTGCCAGGGGGTGCATGTGGATATTACAGGTGTGTGTGTGTGTGTGTGTGTGTGTGTGTGTGTGTGTGTGTCTGTCTGTCTGTCTGTCTGTCTATCTGTCTGTCTTTCTGACTGTCTGCTGTCTGTTTTCTTTCTTTTTGTCTGTGTGTGTTTATGAGTGTAGGCATGCTCGTGCCAGGGGGTGCATGTGGATATCACAGGTGTGTGTGTGTGTGTGTGTGTGTCTGTCTATTATATGTCAGTTAGTATCTGTCAGTTAGTGTAGGCATGCTCATGCTAGGGTGTGCATGCTGAGGTCACAGGACAACGTCAGCTGTCGCTCTTCACCTTCCGCCTTGTTTGAGACGGGGTCCCTTTGTCGTTTGCCCAGGCTAGCTTCTGGGGCTTTTCCTGTCTCCACCTCCCATCTGGTGCAGGAGTACTGGGTTACAGACAGACACCTGGTACCACGCCTGGGTTCTGGGGATCCTGGGGACCCGAAGGTCTGCATGCTTGCATGACAAATGTCTACTCACTGAGCCACCTCATCAGCCCGGGGAAACTTTTAAAGAAAACTTCTTGAGGACTTCGGAGATGGCTTAGTGGTTAAAGCTATCGGCATGCAAGCACGGAGGCTGGCGTTTGGGTCCCCAGAACCCACACAATGCCAGGTGGGTGGCGGCAGGCTGCCCATACTTCCAGCCGTGTAGAGACGGGGGATTCCAAGAGCAAGCTGGCTTGCAGGACTAGCTGTATCAGCAAGCCCTAGATTTAGTTGAGAGACCATTCTCCCCACCCAAAAAAAAAAATAAGGTGAAGGAGTGGTCTTGGGCGTTCCCGATCCTAGCCTCAGGCCTCTGTGTGCACATACCGCACACACATACATACATGTCACCACTCTAGAGGTGGTGGGATCTAGGGGAATGGAGCCAGTAAATGAGTCGGACTGAAGTCTCATGCAATAGGCAGCTTTATTCAGAGCATCGGACAGTTTATAGTCTGAGGGTTAAGAAGAATCACAAGAGTAAGGTTCTCATGAGTTCAAGCTGTATACAACCACAGGGACAAGCGGCATGTGGCAAAAACCTGTTTTCCCACAGAGGCATAGGAAGGGTCATTTAACCATTTCATTGAATAACAGCAGCAAGCAATAATGAGTCATCTGAAGTAAACTCACTCCTGCCCGCTATATCTGGGAGGAGCACGAAAACACATTCCAAGAACAGTTCAGTGTTCTGCAGAAACTGAGGTCACAAGACTCTTGTCTTGTTTTCTGGGAGTTTTCTCACAAGCACTCGGAATTCTCCTCACATAACGCCATCCTTAGACCGTATTCCAACACATACTCATGAAGAAAAGAATTCTTGAGATAGGATCCGCTATGTATCCCAGACTGACCTAGAATTCACAATCCCCCTGCCTCAGCCTCCCAAGTGCTAGATTACAGGAGCAGCACCACCAAGCTGGGGCTTGTATTCATTTCTCCACTGAGCTCCTGTCTCGGGGCCTGTGTCTCAGCTCCAGTGAACAGCGATTTGTAGTAGACTTCTCCAGTCCTCTGCTGAGTGGTGTTTGTGTTCTGGGCCTGTAAGGAACTTTAAGTGTGTTATTTTGTCCAAGCTTCACAACAGCCCAGATACAGATGGGTCGCTTCTTTGGACCATTTTACATGTGAGGAAGCTGAGGTTTAAAGGCTTACATAGCCCAAAGTCCCTGCTAGGAAGCAGAGGGGATCTGAATGTGGAAGCCAGCCTGTATGTGTGTCTCTCTCTTCTCTTGTCCTCTGCACACATGCTTAGTTAATGTCCCCTGCTGGACCCAGAAGGAAGAGAAAACTGACAGAGATGGTCAGACCTCTCAATAATTCTAAACTCATATCCCTGTACCATTCCTGGGCTTCAGTGAACCTTGTCTCTAGAGCATGATGTGTTAGCCACCTTCTTGCTTCTTTATGGTCACATGGCTTTGCTCAGAGAGCCCCAGGTACAGATGACTTTGCGGTCAAGACTCCTGGTACCTCGAGGCCTTGGTCTGATGTGGGATGGGCCCGTGGGCACTTGGAAGAGCAACGAGAGCATCTTAAGGAGGAACGCTCCCAGAGAGCCTGCATTATTGTCCCTTTGGTTGGGAAGACATTCTTGTCATCTCATGGAAGCAGCTGGTGCCCGTGAAACCTGGCACCTTGCCTGACCCCAGCTAACAGGAGATGTGGCAGGCTGCTGTGGAACTAATGGAGTTCTCTCCTCGGGCAGCAGTTAAGGGTTAATTATTAGCAATTAGGGAGTCAGCACATGCTCCGGGGGCCTGCGGTCCCTTCCCAGAACACGGGTCACTTGTCTTCCTCTGTGTTAGTAACTGGATCCATCTGTCCCTCTTGGGTCCCTGGTTAATCATTGCGGTAGGGTCCCGACAAGGCCAGCGGCAGGGGGCTACTGGCCGAATGATGCATGGTGTCCTAACGCTGTTGGCCCTCTGGTTCTGCCATGTGGCCTCCGTCACTCACTCTCGGCATGGCGTCAGTACTGCCCTGCACCTTTGGCTCTCTGTTCACCTCTTCCCTTCTGCTCTCTTGCAGACGCTACTACAAGGAGACCTCTGGCCTTATGCTGGATGTTGGAGCCTATATGAAGGCACTCGAGGTACCTGCCCTGGTTCTGTCCCATGCCCTTTCATGTCTCCGAGTGGGCCTCCTGTGTGGGGTTTCCAGCCACACACTCCCTCTCCTCTGGGGTTGGCTCTCCCATCGCCTGGGGCATCAGTCAGTTACATGTGCATCCTTCTCTGACCCCAGCCCCGGCCAACCTCCTGTGGCTCTCTCCCAGCATGCTCTTTACCGCTCTTCTTTGACTCATGGCTGCCTCCTTCCTGGCCCTGTAACACCTCAGGCTTGATGTGTCCTCCCTGGCCTTGTCCCGGAGATGACCCTCCAGGTTACAGAACCATCTGTGGCCAGACCTCTGGAGTCCACTGTGACTGCGGCCAATCCCCTGCCTAGACTGCTACTATACCACGCCCTGTACCGGTGGTATCAGCCCCTGCCCACCTGAACGCAGGTGGTTAGCATAGGCAAGTGTGTAGTTTTTGTTTTTTGTTTTGTTTTTTTTTAACTCTTCGGGGGCCTGCCACCTACCTCCCAAATAAATGCATGGAGATTTTTAATAAGTATTTATAAGTATTCTTACTTATAAATGCCAGGCCTTATCTTGGCTTGTTTTTCTTAACTTAAATTATCCCATTTAGGGCTGGAGAGATGGCTCAGAGGTTAAGAGCACTAGCTGCTCTTCCAGAGGTCCTGAGTTCAAGTCCCAGCCACCACATGGTGGCTCACAACCATCTGTAATGAGGTCTGGTGCCCTCTTCTGGCCTGCAGGGATACATGCAAGCAGAACACTATATACATAATAAATAAATCTTTTAAAAAAATTATCCCACCTACCTTTTGCCTCTGGGCTTTTACCTTTCTCATTCTATATATACCTTTTCTTTACTTCTTACTCCACGGCTGGCCGTGTAGCCGGCCCCTGGTGTCCTCCTCTCCTTTTCTCGTTCCTCCCTCTTCTTCCTCTCCCCCCTCCCTCTCTCCCTCCCAGATTTCTCCTCTTATTTATTCTCTCTGCCTGCCAGCCCTGCCTGTCCTTCCTCCGCCTTGCTGTTGGCCATTCAGCTCTCTGTTAGACCTTCAGGTGTTTTAGACAGGCAGAGTAACACAGCTTCACAGAGTTAAACAAACGCAACATAAAAGAATGCCGCACATCTTTTCATCATTAAACAAATGTTCCACAGCATAAGCGGATGTAACACATCTTAAACTAATATTCCACAACACAGGTGGGTGGATTGAATCCTGGACCCCTCAGGGGAGCCTCTGATCTACTTGCAGGTAGGCAGCAGGAAGGGGCAAGAGAACGGGATTGTAGCTGAACAGGATTGCAGATGAGAGCCCTGGTCCCCTGACCCTTGGGAGGCCTGTGGCTTTGCTAGGTATGGTGTGCCACTCTGCTGTGGACAGCCTTGGAGTGGGTGGCAGAGCTGGGGGCAGGTGTCCTAAGCATTCTGGGCTGCAGCCTATTGTGGAATTGTGGCACTCTTGTCCTTGAGAGGTTTCTGAGGCCCATAGCATCCTGTTTTGTGAAGGGCTTCACCCATCACAAGACAGTCTTTCCCATGTTTGGTCACATTCCTGTTCCTGATCTCAAACCCATGCTCTGTCTTTTTTTTTTTTGCCAGTATGCCTGTGGTATTGAGGCTGAAGTGGTCGGGAAACCTTCCCCTGAGTTCTTCAGGTCTGCCCTACAAGCCATCGGGGTGGAAGCTCACCAGGTAGGAGGAACAGGATCTCCTCTCTTCTTTAACTTGTTAAAAGGACCTTTCCTTACTTAGTTCTTCTGGGTGTGGGATGGTGTCCACTCATTCTCTCCCTCCACCCTGTGGGTTCCAGGGATCGAACTCAGATCGTCAGGATCAGCAGCCAGTGCCATTACCCACTGAGCCATCCTTCTGGCCCAGAACTCTTCTCCCTGAGAGGATTGAGATAGTTACTCTCCATGAGTCCCAACAACCAGATCACATACATTCTCCTCTTGTAATGTTTTCCCCCCTCTTAAAAAACAAATTTTTCCTTTCTTGTTTTCTCTGTGTGTGTGTGTGTGTGTGTGTGTTTGTGTGTGTGTGTGTGTGTACATACATCCATGAACGTGTGTGTAAGTCGCAGGTACACGTGTGCCACAGTATGCATGTGGAGGGCAGAGGACAACCTCGGGTTGCCTTGTACTCTCAGATGAGGTCTCTCTTACCTGCCTCTGCGTATGCCAAGCTGGCTAACCCGTGAGTGTCCAGGGCTTCTCCTGTCTCTGTCTCCCGTCTCAACATAGAACACTGGGGTTACAGATGTGTGCTGCTGTGCGCAGCTTCTCCTGGGACTCATGTTCGCACAGCAAACACTCTTCCAGCTAAGCCATCCCCTCAGCCCCAGAGCTGACTTGTTACCGTCATGTTTTAAAGCAAATCTCAGGCCTATTGGATCCTTTCATGTCAAAGTATTTCCTTTAAAACCGGGCATTTTAACAAAAGCGCAAAGCAGTAAAACCCCAGGCAATGACCCAGGAGCAGACAGAAAGATGTTGAGTCTCTTGGTTTCTTAGGACCACAAGTCAAACCCCATCATCTGCTGTGGCCACTAAAGGAGAGAAAGAGCAGGAAATGGCCAGTGTTGATGTGGAAGAGTGGGGCCCTGTGTCCTGCCAGTAGGGCTGAGTTAGAGCTCCGGTGCTGTGAGGGAAACTTGGGGGATGAGTCTGCCGTCTGCCCCCGTGATTACACTCCGAGGTGTAGACCCAGATGAACTGACACTGGTGTTCAAGCAACAACAGACTTGGGGGGCCCGAGGGTGGCTCAGTGGCTGAGCACTTGCCTAACAAGAACGAAACCCTGCTTTTGAGCCCCAGAACCAAAGAGTCCTCTAAACCACGTATATAGATGATCATGGCAGCTGTATTTACAGTAACTAAAAGGCTGAACAGAACTCAGCTGTCTGCCTATCCCCTAGGAATGGGTCAGCAGCATGTGTCCCACTCGGACCGTGACGTATCACCGAGTCATAAAGAGGAGGGATGGACCATGAACGCAGTCTGCCAAGGACAGGAAGCTAGGTGTAAAAGCATGCATGGAATCCTTTTATAGGGCTTGTCCAGAACAGGCAAGCTCACAGAGGCAGAGAGAGTGGACTAGTGGTTACCAGAGGTTGAGGTGTGGGCACGTGATGAACGTCGGTTCATGAGTACCTGGTCTCCTGTGGGTGATAAAAATGTTCTAGAGTTCGGATTGGCGTGATAACATAGTGGGTTAAATCACCCACAGCCAAACCCGATGGCCAGGCCTCCCAGGGTGGAAGGACAACTGACTCCTGGAACTCGTCTTCTGACCTCCGTGTGTGCGCCGTGGTGCACACCTGGGCTGTGTGCCTGGCACTGGGCGAGCTAATGCGGTCTGGATTTAAACACGGTACCTGTGCGTCTCCCCTCCGTCATTCCCTCCTGGCTCCAGCCTGCCACTTTGCTGAAAGGCTTGCTGGTGTTATTTCAATCTCGGGAGGTGTAGACAGAGTTTCGCGTAACTATAGGCGCACACAAGTCATAATCCCTGGCTCTGGTGTGTGTGTGTGTGTGTGTGTGTGTGTGTGTGTGTGTGTGTGTGCATGCATGTGCATGCTTTTAATGGAAATGGCCTGGGAAGGGCTGCAGGCTGCCCGGGTGCCAGGTCGTGGCTCACCTTAACTGTTCTGAGCTGCCCTAATCGATAAAGTCATCTCCGCTCTTCCCTTGGTAATGGCTCTGCAGACGTGTTTAGAGCCTGAGCTCCCATGGTGGCAGCTCCCAACCCAGTTTCCACCAGATGTGTTCCCAAACAGCCTAGAAACAGCAGAGGACTGGGCTTACCCTAGATGTTAGGAAATTCATCACCCTTAGAGGTAATCAGGTCCTTTCAAGGGTCCAGAAATAGAGAGAACAGCACACCTTAAATATACATTTTTAAAAAGTCACATAAAAAAAAAAGATTCTTGGCTTTTGCCACGTTAGTGTTTGTCCTTATAAATGTGCCAGGCCATGGTGGAAATGGCTTAGAGTGTGTCACCTCTGCATTTCTGAGGTGACTGGAAGCTGAAGGTGTAGATAGCCCTTGAGGACTCTCCATGCAGGGTGTGTGCCCTGCCTGCCCCACTGTGTCCTTCCCTGTGATAGGGGCAGACTCTGCCCAGCAGAGTCCAGGGAGAGCTGACAGCTCACGGAACACAGACTTTCTTGGGAAGCCCTTGGGCCCTGGAAGCCTGTCCTTCATAGCATGTTACCTGTTAGGCTCCATTCTGAGCACCTAGGATGCTGAAGGAGAGACCTGTAAGCAGGCAGTATTGAAGGAGCCAGAGGATCTCCTCTTTTAGCCCAGACTGTCTTCTACCTCACTCTATAGCCGAGGATGAGCTTGAACTTCTGATACTCCTGCCCCGTCTCCTGAGTTCCACGATCTCGGGCATTCACTACCACCCCTGTTCTCTTTGCTGCTGGGGAATAGGAATGCAGGCACTAGACAAGTGCTCTGCCTCTGACCCATGTGCCCCACACCAGAGTCACAAATCCAAACCACGAAGCCTGTCTTGGAGGGTGACAGTCCCCTGCAGCCCTCCGCATTTCTGGGTTCTCTTGGAGTACCAACAGTCTTTGAGTTTTGAATGTCTGTCTCCCCTGTATCACATCACAGTCAGGAAGGAGTAAAAGCCAAGCCTGACAGGTAGAGTTTTTTATTTCCCCCGACAGCGCACCTCTTGACCTCCATCTTCTTGCCAATGATTTTTTAAATCCTAAATGATTTGGCAATAATTGCTCCTCTCGGTGTGATTATTGTCCTTCACTGATGGTAAATCTGGAAATTCCCCAGGGTTCTGAGAGCATCTTGGTATGCGGAGCCCACAAGCTGGCCCAGACAGGCTTCACTGCACACCCCACTGGCTGCCCATGTCTAGCCCCAGCTCCCTGCCACCCACATCTCTGCTTCCTGGGGGTTCTGTCCCATGCTGGCATCATGTCATCATCCCAAGCATCTATCCCACAGATGCTCTTCCATGTGATAGCGCTTCCTCTGAGGGATTAGTTTTTTTTTTTCAGAAACCATCTCCAGGAGCCACATCAACAAACACCAGCCCGAGAGGATCCTGAGAAGACGGTTTCCACTGTCTAGTTGTGCATGTGTGCAGGCATGTGCATAAGAGTTTGCTTTGAGGCAGTATTTCATGTGTCCAGGCTGGCCTTGAATTCACTGTGTAGCTGAGGATGACCTTGAACTTCTGATCTTTCTGCCCCTATCTCCTAAGGATTACAGGCACACGCCACCCCACTTAGTGTATACAGTGCTGGGGGCTCAAACCCCCAGCCTTGTGTATACTAATCAAGAACTCTGTACCGACTGAGCTGCCGCCCTAGCCCACGTGTACACAATTCTGCTGTTCTCAGAGGCAGGGAAGGTGCCAGGCATGACATGCCGTAGCTGGGATTTGCGTTCCGTTTGTAAGGCAGCCCAGTCACACAAAGGTCCCAATGCCATTGGCAGCAGTAGACGCCCTAGTCGGAACCCTTGAGTGTTCAAAGCCTGGATCAACAGTTTCAGCGTGGCCCGCAAGCCTGACATGAAGCGTCTGGCCATCTGTACCCAAGGCCACTTTGTGCAGGTTGTTGGGTAGTCCTACAGGTTTGGAGTCTCGAGCCCATGTGTCCCTGTACCCCAGGATGTTCCACTACAGCAAATAGATGTCACTGGCTGGATCTTTCCCAGGTGGCTGGATGGTTTCTACACTGCTGTATGAAAGTTGGTAGAAAACAAAACAAAACAGAGAACCTCCACTCTAGCTCCGAGCAGTGTCCCCCCAGGAGAAGGTTCCGTGTTTTGTCAAAGCTGGGCTCTTGCTACTGGCCCCAGTATCTGCTCAGGATTGCTTTAAACTGACTTCTTAAAAATTAAGTGAGTTCCCTCTAGTTTGGCTGGCCATCTCTGTAGGTTTCCCCATCATGATCCTGACGCCCCTTGCTCATAGAATCCCTCTTCTCTCTCTTCGATTGGACTCCCGGAGCTCAGCCTGGTGCTTGGCTGTGGATCTCTGCATCTGCTTCCATCAGTTACTGAATGAAGGCTCTATGATGACAGTTAGGGTAGTCACTGATCTGATTACCGGAATAGGCCAGTTCAGGCACCCTCTCCACTATTGCTAGTAGTCTAAGGTGGGGTCATCCTTGTGGATTCCTGGGAACTTCCCTAGCACCCTATTTCTTCCTGTTCTCTTGACGTCTCCCCCTGTCATGGTATCTCTTTTCTTGCTCTCCCACTCTGTCCCTGTTCCAGCTTGACCATCCCATTCCCTTATGTTCTCATGAGCTGTGGACCAATAGTTGTGGATCCTCCATGGGACTGGACTAGGCCCTCTGCATAGGTGAGACAGTTGTGTAGCTTGATCTGCTTAAGGGGCCCCTGGCAGTGGGATCAGGATCCATTCCTGCTGCATGAGCGGGCTTTTTGGAGCCCAGTGCCTATGGTGGGACACTTTACATGCCTTGGTTCAGGGGGAGGGGCTTGGACCTGCCTCTACTGAATGTACCAGGCTCTGCTGACTCCCCATGGGAGTCCCTGCCTTGGAGGAGGTGGGAATGGGGGGTGGGGTGAGGAGGGGAAGGCTGGGAGGTGGGAAGAGGGAGGAGAGGGGCACCTGTGGTTGGTATGTAAAATGAACAGAAAATTTCTTAATAATAATAAAAAAGAAAGAAAAATAAATAAATAAAAATTAAGTGAGTTTTAAAAGGAACTTTGGTGCATTACTACAAGTAGAAGACCAGAATGTCTTCACTTTCCATAATATTCTAAGAGTAAGCACCATACGATTATCTGGGGACATTGATGGAAATCAGCTTGTCACCAGTATTTGTAACATATCTGTGAAACACAGGAAGGAAGTGGAAGAGAGGTCAGAGAAATCCAGTGAGGATTTTCAAGTGTGCGCTGGTCCCTGGCACCCCCTGGCCTCCACCTGGTCTCTTTGCTAGGCAGCCCTGCCCTGCTTCCTTTCCATGTGTTCCTTTACTGTTTCTACTTCCCACCGTCCTTCCATCTGTTCCTCTCTTCACGTGGTCGCCTTTCTAGTCTCAGGACCTATAACCACACACATACATAAATGCACACACGCATGCACGCGCGCACACACACAAGTGCGCACACACGCACATATACAGATACATACATATGCGTATAGTTTCAATTTCAGATTCTGCTTATGAGAGGAACCATGCTGTATTTGCCTTTTTAAGTCTGGCTTGTTTTGCTTAATGTAATGATTTCCAGTTGCATCCATTACAGGTGCCTCCATTGATACCATGACACTGGAGACCAGGCCACCAGCACGTAAACCTTTGGGAGATACCCTCCAACCATATCCAAACCACAGTGGCTGCCTCTTTGCTGTGTCCTCACGTGGCCTTTGCTGCGCTTGTCTGGAGACAGCTGTGGGGGGTCTCTTCCCCCTCCAATAAGGACCCCAGTCACACTGGGTCAGGGCTCTACCCTTGACTTCACGGAATCTCAGTTACCTCTGCAGGGGCCATGTCCAAGTACTCACACTAGGGTTCAGGCCTTGCTGACTTGGAAGGGTACAGCTCAGCCCATGATATCCTCCCCCCACACACACCGTGAGAACACTGAAGGCAGGGCTGGGCGAGTCGCAGATTCACCTCACCTGCTTCCTGTGCCTGGAAAGACACACCCCTCCTGGTGTGATGTCCAGTGCCTTGAGAACTGTTGGTTCTGAGAACTTGCCTGGTTTGGGGGGTTGTTTCAGGTGGGAGGAATCTGTCCCACAGACTGCTTCTGAAACCCTAGCCAGTAAGCAAGTATTTCTTGTGTGTGTGTGTGTGTGTGTGTGTGTGTGTGTGTGTGTGTGGTTAGGGTTTGGTTTTTACACAGAGTCACTTGACAATTGAAAGCAAAACCTTTTGAAATGGAGACTCCACAGACTTGCCAGACACTGACTGAGTTTTCACAACACAATCACCTGACCCCAGAGGAGCATTTAGCATCAAGTAAAAGGCAGTCTGCTCTGTGCGGAGGCGGGTGCCCCTCAAGGCGCCAGATCACTTGGACGGCTGCTGATTGATTTCACATTGAATAAATAAACTGGTCATGGCCCAGGGGGGCAGCGGGAGATAGATTCAAGGTGGGTTGACTTTAAATCAATACAATGACAATATTATCTTGTTTAATTTGTATGATGGTGGCTTTAAACATCAAATCAAGCCGTTTGTTATGTCACGAAAAGAAAAAAAAGAAAGATGAAGAACCCAGAAATAAGACTCTCCTGACATAACCTCTGAGCATATTTCACCTCTGACAGGCCATCATGATTGGCGATGACATCGTGGGTGATGTTGGCGGCGCCCAGCAGTGTGGGATGAGAGCGCTGCAAGTGCGGACCGGAAAGTTCAGGTCAGTGCCCGCGGCCGCTTCGTTTTCCTGCTCTTCTCTGGACCCTCCCAGGGCGACAGCCTTCCTGTCTTGGGGCTTTCCTCTCCAAACAAACAGTATGTGGACATTCGCGGCCTTGTCTGTAGCTGGTCCCTCAGGACCCGGATGGCTGACCTTTGGAGTAGAAATCACTGTCCTTCGTTGTGTGGTGGTGGTGGTGGTGAGGCAGAGTGGCCCTCGAGGCAGAGCCTGGACCTCGAGGCAGACGTGAATCTGTGTGGCGTGAGGATAAAGAGGCAAAGCTCTGCCCATGCTGGGGCTGCGGCCAGGGAATCGGGTGGAGCCATCCAAGCTCCTTTGGGCAGTGTGCTCAGAACCTTTGCAGCCATTGAGGTTACAGCTGGCCTCACGCTGTCTGGCTACCTTCCTTTTCTTTGCATTCCATTTTCTCCAACCTGTGAGAGGCACAGAGACCACAGGTAGCTGTCAGGGATACTCTGGGTCTGACGTTTATGAACAGTTGCTGGGAATTGGGCAGTTGGGTCTGCCCTCTGGGGACTGGGCTGTCTGTGACTTGCTTCACCATTGAGAGTGTCTTATGTATCAGCCATGTCTTGCTTATTTATTTATTGCTTAATAATTTATTATAATTAAAATATAATTACATAATTTCTCCCCTTCCCTCTCTCCTACCCCTCTTTTATGTTTCGAGACAGGCTCGCATGTAGCTCAGGCTTGACTCAAACTTGCTATGTGGCCAGAATTGATCTGGAACTTCTGAGCGCCAACCCCCCCACACCTCTACCTCCCAAGTGTTGGGATTATAGGAGTGTGTCACCATTCCTAATTTATGCTGTGCTGGGGATCGAACCCAGGGCTCTGTGCGTTCTAAGCAAGCATTTTACCAACCGAACAGTATTCACTAGCCCCTGCCTTGCCTATTTTCAGTGGCTTCCATCATGGCCAGGCCCTTCAAACAAAGCACCATTTTGTTGGTGCTAGAGAGACTTGGTGAAAACATGGTGATCTGGATTTGAAGGATGGTAGGTCAGTTACACACATCTGAATGATTGTCTTAGACAGGGGTAGAATCCACCAATGGCCTGACCTTCACTCTGAGACCCATCCTGGGTGAGAAACCTGAGGCAGGCATGAGCTGAGGCCCTCTGTAAGCTCAGAGTGAGGGAGGGAGTGTCCACACTCCTGGGGTCTGGGGTCAGAAGCCACTTGAGACTCTCCCAGGGTGGAAGTGCCTTTGAAACCCCAGCATCCCTGAAAAACAGACTTTCTTTCCTCCCCAGCCTCTCTGAGGCGGCTCTCATGGCTCCATTGGTTATATCTGACCTGAGGGAGTCCTGCTCAGATGCCACAGAAGCGTTTTTCCCAAGTGGCCAGCCTGCCCCTTCCTGGTCTGTTCGCACTGATGTAAATGTACCACATTGCTGAAGACAAGAAATAGAGTCCCTCACGGTTCTGAAGGCTGGGAGTCCAAGATCAAGGTGCCGATAGGTCAGTGTCCCATTCCAAGATGGCTCCAGATGTGTCTTCCTGCATCCCCAGAGGAGGAGGGATCGTGGATCCTAACATGTGCCATGGGAAGCAGAGAGCCCGCTCCCTCAAGGCCTTTTCATGGGGTATCAATCCTCATGACCAAGCGCCTCCCCGAGGCCCGCATTCCAACACGGTTGCACCAGGAATTCGGTTTCCAACACCAGAATTTGAGGGGACACGTTCAGGCCAGAGCAGACTTTACGATCCATGATCCCTCTTTTCCCTGAGAGTTGCAAAGCCTGATTCTGCTTTGTCCTGGCCAGAGGCTCCTCACTGGGCAGTGGGGCTCAGCACCCCTCTGTGGCTGCACTGTTTATGGTGGTGTCCCCTGCTGCTTAGCCGTGGGAGCCCAGCTGGCACTTGTTCAGTGTGTGTTGCAACTTAGTGGCCAGACACGTGAGTAGCACTTTGGTCTTTGAAAGCCCAGAAGCAGGACTACTCTAGTTTATTAAGGAAAACATCGTAGTTGAGGAAAATGTGTCCTTGGTTGGGGCCTGTCTGGCCAGTCTAAACCTGTGTGGCCCATGTACTCAGAATGCACTGTGGCTTTGCAATTGGCTGAAACAAACCTCTAGGCTGCTGAGTCTTTAAGGAAGATCCAACACACAGGAGGGAGGCCCCCACACACACACATGAGTAGGATTAGGAGCTACACCCACTCTAGTCCCCCAGGTGTGGGCCCATTGCCGAGTCCAGTCATCTCCATGCCATTTAGAGGGAAGTGTCAGTGGGGTGGGGTGTAGCTCAGTGGTAGAGTGCTTACCCAACATGTGTGAGGCCCTAGACCCAGTCAATCCCCAGCACCGGAAAACCTAAAATCAGCCAGAGGGAAGTGATATCCGCCTGATGGAGCTTGCACTTGGAGAGAGAATTCCATCTGGAGACCACCCTTCTGGTCATACAAGCACATGGCTAATGTTTTGGATTTTCCTTTATTACACAAATGGGATTATACTGTGCAACGTGCTTCTTTCTTGACTGTTTTATGGCATCTTTCTGTAACTGTAAAGTTCTGTCTAGTGCCTGGCACATGCCAAGTCCTTTGCTGGTAGCCCGGGGTGGTGACTGTGCAGCTGTGGTTAGTTACCAAGAGGCTTCTGGAAACTGACCACTTGCCCTGGTTCCACAGGAGAGGACTTGTTTGTAAGGAGGCAGATCTTCTTTTGCTAGCCTGGAGAATGACAAAATAAGAATCTTAGTTCTTACAAGGGAGCAACTGGGTCACTATAGTTGGTTGTATTTTTGCTTTGTTTTGTTTTTTTTTTTTTTACTCTTTTATTCTTTACTCCTTGAGGACCCACCACTTAGCTCCCAAATAAATACACACGGAGACTTATTATTACTTAAGAATGCCCAGCCTTAGCTTGGCTTGTTTCTAGCCAGCTTTTTGTAACTTGAATGATCCCATCTACCTTTTGCCTCTGTGCCTTTATCTTTATCCTATATACCTTTCTTCATTCTTACTCCATGGCTTGCTGTGTAGCTGGGTGGCTGGCACCTGAAGTCCTCCTCCTCCTTTTCTCATTCCTTGATCTCCTCTTCCCAGATTTCTCCACCTCTCTGCCTGCCAACCTCATCTGTCCTTTCTCCTGCTTTGCTGTTGGTCATTCAGCTCTTCATTAGACCAATCAGGTGTTTTAGACAGGCACAGTAACACAGCTTCCCAGAGTTAAGTAAAGGGAACATAAAGAATACAACACATCTTTGCATCATTAAACAAATGTTCCACAGCATAAACAAATGTAACACATCTGAAAATAATATTCCACAACAGGTCACCCACAGTGAGGCTATTCCAGCCCAAGAGGCTCGGTTTGTGCTGTTGTTCGTGAGTGTTGAAAGGATGAGGGACTGTAGCATGAATCTTAAAAGTTCTTATTAATAAAAACAAATCTGGAGCCAGGTATTGGGGTGATCGCTGAAAGATCAGAGAAGCAGAACAAGCCACAGCTTCCTCACCTCGACAGTTCCTCAGCTGATCCTGTTTCCTCAGACTGGAAGCCTCTGTGTCCTCATCCAAATGGATCTCAGCTGACTGCTGCTAAAAGCCTAAAAGCTTAACCAGCTCTAGTTCCTGGTCTTCACACCTTATATACCTTTCTGCTTTCTGCCATCACTTCCTGGGATTAAAGGCCCACTTCTGGGATTAAAGGAGAGAGTCACCATGCCTGACTGTTTCCAGTGTGGCTTTAAACTCACAGAGATCCGGATGGATCTCTATCTCCCAAGTGATAGGATTAAAGGCGTGTGTGCCACCATTTTCTGGCCTCTATATCTAGTGGCTGTTCTGTTCTCTGACCCCAGATAAGTTTATTAGGGTGCACAATATTTTGGGGAACACAGTATCACCACATGGGACCTAGAGGTAATAGCCCTAGAAACACTACCAGAGAGGAGAGCCTCAAGTGGCTTGAAAAGTGACTTGTCCCAATGGGAACATTCAAGAAACACTGTTTTCAGAGACCAAGTAGAGATAGCAAGCCCAGCACTGATTTTCTATGGAGAAGACAGTTTGGAATGTTGATACTTCGTTACTCTTACTGTTAGTGGCTGTCTTAGTGGTGTCTTTCTTTCTATTGCTGTGAAGAGACACCATGACCACAGCAACTTTTTATAAAGGAAAACATTTCATTGGGGTGGCTTACAGTTTCAGAGTGTTAGTCCATTATCACCATGGTGGGAGACACGGTGGCACGCAGGCAGGCAGGCATGGCGCTGGAGAGGGAGCTGAGAGTCCTGCATCTTGATCCGCAGACAACAGGAAGTGAACTATGTCAGTGGGAGTAACTTGAGCATGGGAGACCTCAAGTCCCACCCCTACAGTGACACACTTCGTCCAACAAGGCCGCGCCTGCTCCAACAAAGCCACACCTCCCAATAGTGCCGCTCCCTATGAGCTTCAAACTACCACAGTGGCCTACTAGGAAATCTAACCTTAACCTTAACCCTGACCGCTAACCCTGTCTCCAACCCTAACGTTTTATGTTACACTCTCTATCAGTGAACTACTGGGAAACTTTAGTCTAACCCTAACCCTGAGCTTTTGTGACCGGAGGTGTGTGTGTGTTCTCGCGCTGTCCCCTTTTCACTGCAGATGACACTCTTAATTCACAGATGCACCCTCAGGTGACCGCTGACTGCGCACTGGTGGCCACGGGGGTCCTGTGTCCCTTATCCCTAAGGGATAGTGGTGGCTTTTGTGAATAGCCCTGGTGGCTGCTGTGACTCCGGCAGCGTCTCTGGCATCCTGCACACTGGCCCCTGCAATGTGCGCTCTCAGTGTGTGCCAGTGGGCGGCCTCTGAATTCAGACAGGCTCAGATCTCTCCCTCTTCCTCATTTTGTCCCTTCCAAACACGTCAGGTCCGAGGACCAACTCGACCAATGAGCTGGTTTACGGGAAGACCTGGCTTTGGGAGCCTCTGACCCGGAACAGGTCCTGCAGTGGGTCATCTGACCTCATCCCCACTCCCGGGAAGTGTCACCTTGTGCCTGTGGATGATGCCTGCAGGGTCTGGTTTCCAGGCTTTTCTGAGAGGCGGACGGGAACCCTGTGCAGCCTTTAGCTCCCGCTGTGTTCACGTGGGGCACTGGAAGGGCCCTCACAGACTCCTCCAGGAAACGGCACCCAGGAAGGTACATCAGAGCCATCTCAGAAGAGACCCAGCTGCCTGGAGTGGAATGAGGTCCCTTACCTAGGGTCGACCCCAGAGGACAAAGTGCCAGAAGCCTGAGTAAAAGGCCCAAGGCATCCGCATTAGGGTGACACTGGTCTAGCCTCTGTCCTCTGGTCCCTAGGACAGTACTGGAGGCTGGTCCTATTTCCCGCAGCTAAAAGGGGAAACAGAGCCGGATCTCAGAGGGACCATAGAGCCCCCAATATCATTGTGCCATCTCCCATTTGCAGACACAGAAACTGAGGCCCAAATAGAGCAGGGACATTGGTGCTGGGATGTCCTGCCGACCACTCCTCCAGCTCTGTGACCGCCACCTCTGTGTCCTTGATTGTCATTGCTAAAGCAGTGGCTGGTGGTCAGGAACACTGAGTGTAGGTGGTGACCAAGGGCTAAGTGTCATAAGTGACTTTGACTGTGCCCTGTACCCTTAGGGGTCCCCCTGTGTCATGACACTGTTGTAAGAACGAATGGTCTTTCAGGGTATACTCAGCTTGCCCAAGGTTTGTGAATTTGGGGCTTCTCAAAAAGGAAAGCCATCTCACCAGAGCTAACACCTGCTGACCCATGCCCAACCATGGCGGCCCTTGCCTAAGTGGAAATCACTGGAAACGGGGCTCTGCCTGCCCCAACACAGGCTGGCTGGCCCCTTAAGTGGGCTCAATGGCAGCCAATCTATCCCTACACTTGAACTTGTCCCAGGCCCCCGCCCCTCCCCACCAACAAAACCACATCCAGACAAGGACTCTGTACCTCAGACAGGGTTACTCCAGGATCATGAGGTGATGGCTGTGGCATCTGACCCTGGCCTGTGACAGGGAAGAATGGGAGGCTGTCACACAAACTGTCCTCACAGTATTCCCTCTCTTTGGTGCAGGGTGACCTCATTTTATCCCATACTCAGACCTGGGTTTCACATGCCAGCTGAAAGGCCCAAGCTTCCTCCTATATCCATGCAGCTAGTCTGACAGGGTACCTCAAGTGTTGGGGAGGGTGAAGCTCAGGGAAGACAGGACAGCACCAGGTCCCCCCTCCCCTAATTGTCCTTTCCTTCCCATCCATCTTCTCCAGGATCACCTCCAGCTCCACAGTCAACTTTCCTTTTCCTCTTTCTTGCACTGCCTCCTGCTCCGGCCACGAGAGGGCGCTTGATCACCAGGTTCTAGAAGAGCCACGTCCTTCCTTAGTTGAGGACTTGAATGCACAGACCACAGGCTGCAGCACATCAGACCCTAGTGCACATTCACAGGCACTCACAGCCAGCCTCCCTCCCACCCCCCACCCCAACACACACACACACACACACACACACACACACACACACACACACACACTCACATCCATGCCCCATGTACTCGCAGCTCACTCCCATGCATGCTCACCCGCTCCTGCTCCCCTGCTGATGCGTGTCTTTGTCATCCTTGGGGTCGGGCTAGCTTGCTAGACGCAGGGCAGGCTGGGGTCTCAAGAACCAAAGCAGGTTCTGTGACCCATGGAGGCTTCTCTTTTGTTCTTCTCCAGCTGGTACCTTCCCAGGAGGAAAATCCTGGGTCCCCTGCCATTGTCAGAGAGCAGAGAGGCCGGGTCCCTGTGTCAGGAGAGTCCTTGCCCACAAGTCCCCTGCTGCCCCCTCTGCATTTGTTCCCGGAGCCATTGTCCATGCTGTGCCCCTCCAGCCCTGTTCCCACGTGTCCCCGCCTGAGCTTGTCTGGATCCCGTGAGGATCCCTGCCTGGCTTTCTTCATGCCGGCCAGACTCACAGCGTCCTCCAACCAGCAGGAGGCTCCACCGCTCTGGGTGGGACTAGAGGCCAGGGTGACTTAACACCAGGTGGTAACAGTAGCTCCTTTCTCTCTGCACCCCACGTGTGCTTTGCTCCAGGAGCTGGGGAGATGGCTTATGAGTAAAGCATTTATTTGCCTTGTAAACACGAGGACCTGAGTTCAGATCCTGAGAACACACAGAAGACTAGCTGTGTCTGTGAGCGGCTGTAATCCCATGTGGGGGAATCACGGGAAGTTTGCAGGCCAGTGAGCCTGCTGTCTGCAGCAGCGAACCGCCAGAGACCCTGTCTTGACCCACGAGACTGTCCTCTGACCTCCACACGCGGCCGTGATAGGCACACCCACACTGTCACAGATGAACACGAGTGTGCAGAGGCGTGCACACACATAAATAAGAATAACAAAGAATTCCCCCAACCTTCTTATTTCCACACCATTTTGGAATTTTCCAAATTGATGTCTTCATATGCTGTTTCACACAGATCCCATTCGGGTCTCTTTCGTGACTCCCAGAGCTCCCGAGAGAGCTGTGAAGTCCCCTGGTGACCTCCAGGCTCCTTCATCCCATGCTCTACCCTGACCCAGCTCTGTCAGGAGCAGCGGTTCTGAAGCCCACAGGCAGCGGTTTCGTGTGCTTTTTCCTCGTGACAACACCCAGTTCACACTGTGGGGCAGCAGCTGAGGACCAGTGCCCCCAGAGTGCCATCCTGCCAGGTGACCGGTGATGCCCGTTACTGGTGAGGTTAGCACTGACTGCTTGATGATGACGGTGACTACCGTTGGAGGTAGGAGTTCAAGTTCAAGCCTGGGGTCTGTGAGGCTGTGCCTTGAGCATAAGCAAACAGGTGTCAGCCACCATTGTTTCTACTTTCAGTGTCTGTGGGGACACTAGTTGCCTGTCACTCACCCACTTTGACACAGTACTCTGAATATCAGTGGACATTTCTGTTTTGAACTGGTCATTTTTCCTTTTTTAGATTTATTTATTTTTTAAATTATGTGCATATGGTGGGGTTGGGCAGGAGGGATGTGTCCATGAGTGCAGTTGGTCACAGAGTCCAGAAGAGGGTTTTGGGTCCCCAGTAGCTAGAATTACAGGTTGTGATGAGCCACTTGACAAGGGTGTTGGGAACTAAACTGAGGTCCTCTGCAAGAGCAGGGCACACTGTTAACCACAGAGTCCTCTCCCCAGCCCGAGTCTGTCGTCTGTGTGACCGTCCTGGAATAATTTCATCATTTGTCCTTAGGTTTGATATTGCCATTCTCCTCTAAAAAAACAAGAGTTCTCTTCCCTCCAGTCCATTTGTACCACCGTGAGTCCGCAGGTTCCTGTTTGATCTATCAGGTTATCATTGTCTGCTCAAACGCTCCTCCTTGTGTCCCCTCGAAACCCCTCCGGCTGGCCGCACATCCTTGTGATGCCCCACACCGCTCTCTGTGCCCTTCCTGGATTTCTGGTGCAGAAAGCCCTTTCAGGTTCATCTTCTGTCTTTACACAACCCTGGAACCAGCCACTTCTCCAGGAAGCCCTGGTTCTTTCCATGCCGAGTGGTGCCCTGTAGCCTCTAAGCTTGGGGTGAGGAGTGCCTCTGGGTGTCGCCGTTCTTGGCCCTCAAGTTACCAGAGGAGAAAAAGTGCATGCCCCAACCCTCATGATGTACTTACACAGTGGGTGAGCTTACTTCTGCGTCCACATCCATTTGTGGAAAGTGTGAGGTGCTTACCAGTGGCACCTGGCTGCAACTTTCCTCCTCCAACTGGGAGAACTGGACTCCTGCTCTCTCCCCCCACCCTCTTACTCGCTGACTCCCCTTCTTCGGCCTTGTCTGGGGAGCATGAGCCAGTCTGAGCAACAGAGACCTCCCGGCTGCCCCCCTCATATTCTCTCACTGAGCCTCGAGGCGGACAGAAGTCCACTTCCCTAGGAAGGGGCTGACTTGCCTGGGGTCGCCCTGCTGGGGAAGGTCGAGCAAGACTGTGCCAGCATGTGTCTCCTGTGTCTCCAGCGACGGCTCAGCTCTGAGGCTTCCGTGTCCAGGGAAAGGGGCGTTTGTGCTTGGTGATCGTGTGCTAGTGTGGCAGGGTGTGAGCTCTGAAGATGAGAACCTCAGGTTTACTGGGCACTAGTGATGAAGACGCCTCCAGGAAAGGGTTTTGCGTGGGGGGTCGGGGGCGGGCACTGGGGAACTTGGAGCCCTCTGCTACAGAGGAAATTCCCGGACACCCTCCAGTGGGTGAGTAGGGGAGTCCATGGCCAGTGGTGCCCAGTTTTAGAAGCGATGTATTGATTTCCTTCAGTGCCTCAGCTCTCCACACGGCCCTAGCAGAATGCTGGCTTCTCATTTAATCTTGTTTGTTTGGTTGAGGGTTTTTTTTCCCTTTGGTATTTTTTTGTTATTGTTGTTGTTTTTGGTCTCTTGTCTAAATTATACAGATAGCAATAGCAGGAAGGGGCAGCACTCATTGTCAGCAGTATCGGGTAGGAGGCTGGGAGGCTGGGGTACTCTCAGCTTGCAGGGTGCTGTGGGGCTCCAACAGGTCCCCACCCTCACAGCATCTGATGGTTCCGAAGAAAAGGTGCTTGCTGTTGGCATTGGGGTCTGAACTCTGTGTCCCACTGCCCTGCATCCCAAGGGGTTCAAACTGCAGAACCAAGAGGGGCCGTTTCAGGGTTTCCCAGGCTGTGACTGCCAAGCTCCAGTTCTGCCGTGGTCTCTCAGGACCATGGGGACCATGGTGAAACTTAGAAGTCTCTCTTCAGAGTGTATCGTAAGCAGCTCTTTTGACTCTTCCTTATTCCTTGACTCTTCTGGACCAGGGAAGGTGGTGGTTATCCCACCTCTGCCTTAAAAAACAGAGCCAGGTTGGGGAGCTCTGACCTGACCTGTTAAAGAGGGAGGCTGAGTTTAGGGAGTCTGTGGCTAGCAGGCAGCTCTGGCCCCGGTCTTCCTACACCTCTCTGTTAGCCTCTCCACCTCACAGTAGAACAGGCTTATTCTGGAGCGCTCCACCAGGAATCCTAGCTCCCATGGGTGCAGATGCTCATGGAAAGTAGGATCCCCAGCAGTGTGTATAAGGCAGTTCTTGGTTGTTGTTTTTCTCTCTCTCTCTGTGTGGGTGGGTGGGGCAGTTCTGGCAGGCCTTAGGCAGCATGGAGAAGAAGGGGTTAACCTTCTTGGACCCCACCAGTAAAGAGGAAGCTTAGTGTTTCCATGTGAAATAGTTTAAAATAAACTTCGAGGCGAGCTCAGACAGGGCTGCTGAGGCCAGATGGAAAGAAGCGCACTCAAGTGCCGGCCTGGGTGAGTGTCCCAGCTGGTGTGCCCCCCACGAGCCCAGTGGGCTGTGGACAGGAGGTGGGCACGCCGAGGCTTTAGTCTGGCCCCTGGAATGTTGTCCTGGCTCTGGAGAGCGCCAGGTGGCTCAGACTCCCTGGTTTCCTAATAAAAACAATAGCCATCTCGGAAAAGAATGTGAGCCTCACATTGCGCCAGGAGACAAGCCCCGGTACTGCTTCTTGGAACAACCCTAGAAAGTAAATATAGTAAATTATTTAAACTCAGCTGCCTCCGGGTTTCAATAATTCAAGTTCAGGGAACAGTTCAACCTAGCAGACCCTAGAGTTCAAGTGACTGTAGAGTTCCCAATTCCCCCGTCTTCCCACAGCTTTCCAGCTGCCGAGAACAGTCCAGGGCACATGTGCTATGAGGTACTCCAGGGAGATGTTGGACATCAGACCGCCGCCCGCATGACCAGAAGCAGCCTCCGCGATGGAGGCTCCAGGGGTGTCATGAATCAAGGCCCGGAGAGTGGGTGGCAGGCATGCCCAGCCTGAGGCGAGCTGCGTCGTGTGTTATTTTGTTAGGATCACACTTCAGAGCTGTGCATGGGGGGGGGGGGCGCGGGTAGTAGATAGCTGGTGCGAGGCTGTAGATGCCGTCCGCACCTCCTCTACCCCGATGCCCAGCCCAAGGTCTGCAGCAAACCTGTACTGCTCCAAAGCTCCCCAGTGCCCGGCTGCAGCTCTGGCAGGATGCCATCCCTCTCCTGTCCCTCCGGGTCCAGGTAGCAGTGAGTCTCACCAGCTAGGAGAACATTACGCCCCGGCGGCCAGGGTGCTCACTGCAGTTGAGTCTTTCATTTCTGCACCTCTTGCAGGCTGCTCCCCCTGTGTCCTGAGGGCATTTGCTGCAGCGGGCCAGCTCTTGCCCCGGGTACTATGTACCCTGGCAGTGTGCTCAGCCTGGCACTCCAGCCCAAGGCAGCCACGCTTCTCAGTTGCCTTGGTGGTTCCTGTAGGTTTTTTTTTGTTGTTGTTTCTGCTGGGGTCTGGGGCTGTGTGGGCTGGCTTGCCATAGTTTAGGAGCTCATGAAGATGTTTTCATTTCTTTTGAAACCAGAAGCAAAAAAACATATGTGTAGTTAAAACCTGGGTGGGGACAAGTCCAGGGTTCTCGCTGCCCTGCCTACTCTGGCCCGAGCCTCTCAATCCCACGTTCTGCCCGCTGATCTCCCTCACCTTCCTTGGGGGTTTTGGAGGGCATGCCTGCCTGCCCTCACAGCTGCTGTCCATCTGTGTCCTGCACATCTGGACCTCATCACACTGATCCTTCTGGCCCTCCTATCCTGTAGTTCTTAATGTAGCTGTGATGCAGCCACTCTGTGACCAGTGTCTTTTGTCCCCACCTTGTTACATGTGTCCTATGAACAGGGTCTACCCAGGCCACTCTCACTGCCACCTGGTATCTATCTCAGGGTATGGTGCATACCAAATCCTCTGTCAAGACCTGTTGGAGGGATAGATGCCCAGATCTAAGTCCTTGTCTGAGAGGTGAAAAGGAGGGAGAATTTCCCTGATTTCAGCCAGTATTATGCAACCCTGTGTAGGCCATATGTAGGATAGAGGGTACATATACTGAGAGAGGCAGGAATCCCTGACTGGGGGGGCGGGTCCTGTCCTCCCACAGCCTATATGCTTCTAGCTGGCCCAGGGAACCCCAGACCCCATCATCTTCCCCTCAGACTTGCTCCATCCCAGGGTTGACATTCCTGTGGGCATATGACAAGCGTCTGTGAGCCTCCCAAGAAGGAGGAGATCTGAAGCCCTATCATGACTGAGACAGGAGAGCCTGGGAGCAGGGAGCCTTTCCTGGGTTCTTACTTGAGAAGAGAGATCTGAGTAGCCAGGGCCTCTTCCACAATGATGCCAGGCTGTGCTCTGTCCTCCTTTCTCGTCAGGTGGAGGGTTCTTGTGGGGCCTGCCTAGGCCCAAGTCAGCAGTCTATAGTAAAGCCATTTCCTACCCTCAAGATTCCAGTTCTCCTTCCTGTTTTTATATGTTTAATAGAGGCTGCAATTTTTTTCATTTTTAAAATTAAAGTGATTTTTCTATTTCTGCAAGAAATGTCTGCCCTTTGGAAAATATGGGAAAGCACAGAGGAAATAATTCAGAATCCCATCTCTCTGAGGGACTCCAGTTAGCGTTTTGTTCTGCCTGTCTCCTTAAGAGGCAGCAATAACAAAAAGACATGAAATACGATTCTTTATAAAAGGCAGTTTTGTACTTAAAATCCTATGAAGAGTATTTGAGCCCCACCATATTTCCATCCTAGGGCATCACTGTGTCCTGGCAGGTGACCTAACAGTGAGGGAGTGACCCTTGGGGCTGCCCTGGGCTACGTGTACCCAGGAAGTTGGAAGCTAGCAGAGTGAAGGGGATGTAGGGAACTTTGTCCATCCGGTCAGGCCTGAAAACAGTGGAAGCCAGAGCTGAGCGCATACCTCT